CAGCCATGCACACAGCCCTGAATACCAATTATTCAGGAGGAAAGTGTCATAGGGATGTAACAATAAACACTATACATTATTATTATTATTCATTTATAGTGTAGTAAGCACTCAGTTCATGGACCAGGACCTATTTGTGCTTAACTTTGTACAAACAGAATAGAAAAGATGATTTCTGCCCCCAAAGAGCTTACAAGCTACAGCCATGCACACAGCCCTGAATACCAATTATTCAGGAGGAAAGTGTCATAGGGATGTAACAATAAACACTATACATTATTATTATTATTCATTTATAGTGTAGTAAGCACTCAGTTCATGGACCAGGACCTATTTGTGCTTAACTTTGTACAAACAGAATAGAAAAGATGATTTCTGCCCCCAAAGAGCTTACAAGCTAAGTAAAACTTCAGAGACAACAGGAGACAGATAGGGGAGCAGGAGGGAACAATGAGACAAAAGAACAGTATTTTCAGAACTGGCCTTAATTTGCCTCGGGAGTATTATTATTTACTATTAGGGGCATCAGACGTCAGTAGCATTCAGTCCCATCCAAGCATACACAAAGGCATGGTCTTTCACCTAAGGATCTTACAGTCCAATTCAGATACAGCTCAAACAGTTTAAAGCAGTAGTGGGGAACCTTTTTTGGGTTGGGTGCTGTTGACGCACAGAAAAATCACTCAGGGGCTCCATATAAGTGAGAAACAAACAAAAAACAGAAACAACCCCCTCCCAAGCCTTACTAATGTGGCTCCCAACTGAGAAGGAGAAAGACAATTCCTACAATCCCCTCACACACCAGAGCCTAGAGGGGCCCATGCTGGAAGATTTTGTGTGCTCCAGACCCAAGAAGGGATAGCAGCTGTACTGGAGCACCAGCACGTTCTCCCCAATGCTGGAGAGGAGCCCTGAGCCTCTGAGGCCAGATCCAGGCAAACCAGGGGCCACATCCAGCCCCTGGGCCTTAGGTTCCCCACCCCTGGTTTAGAGAGACAGAAATAATGTAGCATAGTATGGTTGAAACTCAAACAGGTCATAGTCCTTTAAACAAGAGAAGGTGTTTTTCTGTCACAAAAGGAAATGAAGGAATTCCAAGCAACAAGATCCACAGTATCAGAAGATGCCAGGTCAGAATGGCAGAAGGATATTAAAGCACTGGAAACTAGAAAGGAGAAAAAGGAAAAAGCAGAGGAAGCAAAAGGAGAACATAAGAACGGCCATACTGGCTCAGATCAAACGTCCATCTAGCTCAGTATCCTGTCTGCCAACAGTGGCCAATGCCAGTTGCCTCCGAGGGAGGGAACACAACAGTGAATCCTCACATGATCCCTCTCCTGTCACCTATTTCCAGACAAAAGAGAGAGATGAGCAGGGGAATGGAAACTGATACAAATTTCACTGTGCACATGGTGCTTTTATAACATGCTATATAACAAAAGCATGACTGTAAGCAGCAAGAATGCCAGCATACTATCCTCAAAGAAGTATTTCCGTGCTCTACAGGCAATATTTCAGTAGCGACAGCCAGTTACAATGAAGAATCAATCACTATCAACAAGGTTTTTTTGAAGTATCTTAAACATTATAAAAGGAATAATTAACAATGGGATGGCTGCTTTACTCTCAGGTGGCAAAAGTAATAGTGAGTTCTGGAAGCCATTCTGTGTGCTAGTAAAAACAAGATACTCATACTGCTGTGCAATCTCTATATGCTTCTTACATGACGATTTTTTTAATGGATGCTAGAATTTTTGATTAATTTCATTATCAGGAAGGCTGTTTTGAACATCTGTTGTGTATCCCAATGGGAAGCTGGGAACTTCTTATTTTCAGTGGTTTAAATAACTTGTTTCTGGCTTTACCAGGTTGCCAAATGTTGGACTTTAAATCACTGGTCCATTTTTAAATCTTGCTAGATCTGAGTCTTGGAATGGGTTAATTCCGTCAGAGAGAAAGGAAGCATTTCTGTCAGGTTGCTTTTTATTTGTTTGCTCATTTATTTATTAAAATAATGGTTATTTGAATCTATATACTGGGCTCAAATGTTAAAGTATAATGCTAGAGAAGATGGGTTACTGAGAAAGAGAAGAGATCAAATTGCAGGATCATATTTATTTCTTACTTGACTGTCACAGCTTTATGTGTGTGTATATGTATATATCTTATTGCATTTATATTACTTCGTCTGCAAAGGACTTTTGATGATGAAACATACGTCTGTGCTGCATCATATTTACTATTTTGCAATATGAAGTGTTGTAACTAATGTGAAGTTTTCCTTCCACTTATCAGAAGCATGAGTAGTATTGTTTAAAACTATTTCATGAATTATTCTCAAAGTGTTGCTTCTATTGTTCTGTTTTCCAGTTATCACTACAAATCTCTCTGGCCTGTGAAAGTGAGCAACGCTATGAATATTCTGGACGATGCTGCACAAAGTGTGAACCAGGTAAATATATTCTAGTGTTCTTATTTTTCAAAAAATGAAAATCTTCTTTAAGAAGTTAGTACTAGGGATCACAATGTCATTTTGGTTTTTTTAGTGCATGGGTCTATTTGCACAACTCCTAGCAAAGTTTTTAAGCACATGCATAAGAACATAAGAACAGCTATACTGGATCAGATCAAAGGTCCATCTAGCCCAGTATTCTCTCTGCCAACAGTGACCACTGCCACATGCTCCAGAAGGAGTGAACAGAACAGGGAATCTTCAAGTGATCCTTCTCCTGTCATCCATTCCCAGTCTCTGACAGAGGCTAGGGACACCATTCCTACCCATCCTGGCTAATAGCCATTGATGGACCTAACCTCCATGAATTTATCTAGTTCTTTCTTGAACCCTGTTAAAGTCCTCATCTTCACAACCTCCTCTGGAAAGGAGTTCCACAGGCTGACTGTGCACTGTGTGAAGAAATATTTCATTTTGTTTGTTTTAAACCTTCTACCTGTTAATTTCACCAAAAGAACAAATAAATATAGGAACAAATAAATAACTTTTCCTTATTCACCTTTTCCACACCAGGCATGATTTTATAAACCTCTATCATATCCCCCCTTAGTCTCCTCTTTTCCAGGATGAAAAGTCCAACTCTTTTTAATCTCTCTTCATATGGGACCCGTTCTAAACCCCTTATAATTTGTGTTGCCCTTTTCTGAACCTTTTGCAATGCCAAAATACCTTTTTTGTGATGAGGCAACCACATCTGTACACAGTATTCAAGATGTGGGCGTACCATGGTTTTATGTAGAGGCAATAAGATATTCTCTGTCTTATTCTCTAGCCCTTTTTTCTGTTCCTAACATTCTGTTTGCTGCACATTGAGTGGATGTTTTCAGAGAACTATCCACAATGACTCCAAGATCTCTCACATGAGTGATTATAGCTAAATTAGTCCCCCATTAGTCCCTCTATTGTATGTATAGTTGGGATTATTTTTTTCCAATGTTCATTGCTTTACATTTACCAGCATTAAATTTCATAAGCCATTTGTTGCCCAATCACTTAGTTTTGTGAAATCTTTTTGAAAGAATGTTTGTAGTCCCCAGCCTATACCACCAACTTCAACAACAAGATATACTAGATAATTGATTTGTTCAAAAATGTTCAGTGCTGGAGACACAAAGTGGTATGACTCTCACTGATTACAATGAGACTGTTCATGTGCTAAAAATTACTCGGATATTTAAGTGCAGACAGAGGACAGAGTGAGGAACTGGGATGACAAAGGGCAAAAACCTTCCTAACGCCTGGGGCATCAATGGAGTAACACATGGGCTAAATTTGGACTATTATCTTTAGAGAGTGTCAGTGACTGATACGTGACCACGGTTTTTCCTCTCTTCTTCCAGGAAAGTACATGTCTGCCAAATGCAATGCCACTTCCGAGACTGTGTGCCAGCCTTGCGGCCCAAACGAATATATGGATGTCTGGAATGAAGAAGACAAATGTTTACTACACAGAATCTGTGATGAGGGTGAGTTGCTCATACTGAGGTATTACGCACCTTTGAATGCAAGTGCAAGGTTGGGGGAGTGGGGCTAGAATAGGGTAGTCAATAGGCAGACTGCAGGCCAAATCCGGACAGCCAGAGGCTTTTGAACAGAACCTGTAATCATTTTATTTACTTCTTATTATCAATATTGTTGTTCTTTTATTATTTTCTCTAGAGTCTGGACCCTAACTATACCTTGACTAAGAAATTTGGACCTTACTTTACCAAAATAATTGAGAGAAGGATTGTCAAAGGACCTTAAGAGAATTAGGTGCCCAACTCCCTGTAAATTTCCATCCCCTCCCAAGCTCTTTTGGAAATCTCAACCATAACCCTTAGGCCACCTCTAGTGAAACTTCAGAACAGTGCACTACGGTACTATTGGTGGGCACACAGATTCTTCCTCCCGTTCCCTCTCAGAATAAGGAGCACACATTTTGTGAGTCTATTTTGCCTTCTCATTGTAAAGGCTCAGTTCACCTTCAACTGAAGTAAATAAAAATGACCTCACTTTATGATTCCAAACAATGAGGCATCTCCTCTAAACCAGTTGTCTACTACACTCTTCAGATATTAATGTGACACTTCACACGAATGATTCTCCATCTGACACGCAAGCAGTGTGGACACATGGGAGTGAGGACGGCCATTCCAAATCACATTGAAGGAGAGATTTTTACTTCCATCTGCTTTCTCATTTAGGGAAAGGTTTAATAGAAGTGAATCCAGGAAATAGCACGTTCCAGCGACAATGTGCATGTACATTTGGATACCACTGCAATGAAGACTGTGATTACTGTCTGCGAAATACAAAATGTGCTCCAGGTTTTGGTGTTCAGCATCCTGGTAAGACAGCATCCTGGTAATAGAGTGAGCATCGGGATAATGAATGGAGTCCCAGCCTTTAAATAGGGAGTTAATTGGGATCTCAGGCCAGTGTTAGTGGGGGAGGTGTGTTGAAGTTATAACTGACATATTATCCTCACAATCTGTTTGCGATTTGAAGAGTCATAGTTTCCAAGGTCAGAAAAGACCACTGTGATCATCCCATTTGACCTGCATGATATGGGCCATAGAACTTCCCCAAAATAATGAAGAGACTTGAGAATTTGTATTGTGACTAAAATCTTTTACTTGAGGTGGACCTTGCAAGTTTTATCATGAATTCTATAATTGTCATGGGAGATTTCACTGCATTCCAGATGCTAAGGAATTTGGCTCTGGTTAACTTTAAATATTGTAGCTCCAATAGTCACAAAAGTGTTCTCGCATATGTGCTCTCATTGCAATCTCAGCGTTCAAGTTAAGTTGAGCTGGATGAAGTTAAATTTTATAGCACTAGGAGAAGATATGAACATCTTTTAAAAATTAACAGAACAGTAGTTTTGTATGTCGTATGACTCAAGCAGCTTCGTGTATTTACTTCAGACATGACAAAAAATTACCTCTGACATCAGACTAGCTGTGAAATTTCAGGCTAAAAGGAGATGGGGTGGTAGGTTTGTTTGTTTTTTTGGGAGTGGAAATCAGATGAAGTCAAAATTAGGTTTATACTGGACACTGGTAAAAAGGGAAAGCATTGAAGTGGAGGGAACAACATAAAAATGGCACAAGACTGTGTGCTGGAGAAGTGCGGCATCTGGTCTCAGCACAATGGTTTCTTCTCTACGGTAACTGGTATTGTGAACACTTACCAGAACAATGGAATCTCCACTGTGGCTCACCATAGTGTTGGTATAAATTACTGTTATAATTAATGTAACTGAATTAACGCAAGACTGGAAGTTACAATGGAATTAGCTCCTAACAATGTGCATTTTTACCAGAGCTGTGCAAATAGCTCCTGTAGTTTCTGTTTCTCATTTTGACTCTGTATAGACCTCAATTAACACTACTTTCTGCCCAGATTAACTCCTGTTATTTCCTTTAGTGTAATGTGAGATCTTCCTCATGATAGAAGGATTTTCGGGGGGGGGGGGAATCTTATCAGCAAAATCTTCTCCAAGTATGAGGTGAAAGTGCAGCAGTTCAGCTGTGCTGTTTGTTTACCACAGTGCAACGAGACAAAGACACGCTGTGTGCTCCATGCCGCTGGGGGTACTTCTCAGACATCTCTTCAGCCACCGATGAGTGTAAATCCTGGACCAAGTGAGTGCACCTCCCCTACAACATTACTGTGATAACCACAAAGCTGCAAGAAGCCTGGACAAATTGATTTTTCAGCTGAAGAATTTGATCCTGGCTATGGAACGTTCAATGGGCTGTCAGTAAGCGTCTCTGTTTGTACCTCTCTGATCAGCAGCCATGCTGCTTTTGACAGAGGATATTTAAATATGGGAATTCTCACATTAGAGCTTGATCTTCACCAGGGAAAAGCAAATGAAGGGAACTGCAACAAAACTGTTGAGTTAGAGCATTGCTGTTCAGTTCATCTGCCTCTTCCTGCCCTTGGTCACTTTTTATACATATATCTCCTGGATCATGATTCATCTCTTTTTACCCTCTTGTCCTTGACACTTCCTAGAGCCTGTCATGGCTTCTTTGAGAGCACTCTTTTTTGTCTGACAGGAGGTAGTTTCATGATGGAGATTTCTGTCTCTATTTTGCTTTCATTTGCTCTCATTCACTTCTCTCTCCTTTCCTATTTCTGCTTTTCTCTCTGTTGGTCTCCTCTGTTCCTCATTTCTCCTCTTCTTTACATCTGTTTTGGTGTAATAAGAACCTGAACACACACAAGCTAAGGTAAGAAATGGGTATTTGTTTCCTGTCTCCTGATATGAACTCAAGTTATGAAGATTATGCTTATCACATGGCATGATCAATGACCACTGACTCCATACAGTTATACTGGATACTTTTCCTCTCCCATGAGTCATCTTGCCAGGTCCACAGATGGGGGGGGGGGGGGGCGTAAAAGGGACAGTTGCCCCAGGGCTCGATGATACAAAAGGGCATGGAGCTCCCAGCTGACCCTGCTACAGCAGCAGGAGCAGCAGCAGCCAGAGACCCAGAACCTTCAAATAGTTTCCAGAGCACCGCACCACATGCTCTGGGCAGGGCTAAAAGCTGGCTAGGAGGGTGGGGGCACTGCGTGGCATACTCCAGCCAGCACTGGGGGCTGGCTGCTGCAGCCCAGCTCCTTCCATCCCACACACCTTGCTCAGGGGCCCAGAAAGGCTGTCATCCCCCCTTCTTGCCCTTCCTTCCTTCTCCGCACCCTCCTGTCTGTTCTCTTCCCCTCCTCCACCTACTCATTGCTCTTTCTCTTCTTCAGACTTCTTCTCTCATAGAGATGAAGCAGTTCAGTTGTACGTAGCATCACCTACATTCCTAATAGCCTCTGTCTACCAGTGGGTTTGGTAGACCTAAAATAGTTCAGTGGAGGGCACATTGCTGAGATATATGCTACACAATTAACTAAAATACAATATAACCCCTGGGGCTTGCTTTACCATAACAGGAAGCAAACTAGTGAAGGTGCTATGCATTACAATATAAATTAGAAATACAAATTTAAAACTGTGGAGCAAATACAGCAGCTTTTTGTAGTGACCACAATACAGTGAAAGCAGATAATGCTCTTTAGGTGGGCACGTATGTGTTCACACTACTACATAACACATGCTACATCACATACCAAAAAAACCTACTTTTAAAAAATTGTGTTTAAATTGCAAAATGAGCACTTAAAAGGTAGGAAATATCGGATTGATATTTGCCTGTCCCCCTCTTTCATCTAACCTGTGCACTGAGTGAGTCCTGAATCCTGTGGAAAACTTAGTTAGGTGATCATGGAATTAAAAAGGGTTTCATAATTCATATGCATAAGGGGACTAAGCTAAGGCTCCTTAGGCAAATATAAATCTGGCATTCCCTACCTTTTAAGTGTTTCACTTAGCAACCTAAATAAGAGTCTTGTAATCTAATTTTTTAAATATGTAATTTCCTAATTTTTAAGAAGAAAAATAATTAATTCTGCTTTGCACAAGTGTAAAAGTCCATGCCTTTGAACCCTGAACCTTCAATACTGACTGCTGATACTTGAGTTATAGGACTAACTATGTTGGGTTATTGCAGGAGAAGGCTGTTATCCCAAGGGGTGGGGAGGAAAGGGCCACTGACATCATGTACTAAGCCCAGGAGCAGTCAGGGAAAGCCTGGCCCAGGTTAACTCTCTCTCTTTTTCTCTCCTCCCTTCCCCCCCAGGGGCTGGCAACCTTTTCAAACCAAAGAGCCAAACTACATCAAAATTCAGAACTAGCGGTCAACAAAGAGCCATATAAGAATGCAGGAGTCAGGACAAGGGTCTGGGTGTGTGGAGGACTCAGAGCAAAGGGTGGAGAGTGCTGGAGTTGGCCCAGGGGGTGGGAAGCTCAGGACAAAGGGTTGGATGTGTGAGTGGGCTCAGGGCAGGTGGTGGGGGCTGCAGGACTTGGGGGGCTAGGACAGGTGATGGGGTGCAAGAGTCAGGGCAGTCGCTCGGAGGCTTATGGCAGGGAGTGGAGTGCAGGAGTGAGAGCAGGAGGCTGGGAGGTTTGGGAGACTGAGGGAAGGAGGGGGGTGCAGGGTAGGGGGGTGGGTATGTGGTGGGGCTTAGTGCAGAGGGGGGTGTAGGAATCAGGGCAGGGGGTGAACGGTTAAGGGCAGGGGACTGGGAGGTCTGGGGGGCTTAGCAGGGCTGCCCTTAGCAGCAAATATGATGCTGCTCTGGGGGGGAACCACAGTTTCTGGACCCCCCCCCCGGCATCTTCTCCAGGAGAGGGGGGCAGACAGCAGTTTCCAGCCCACTCTCTGGCATCTCCTCAGGGGGTGGGGGGGAGGCAGTGGTTTCTAGCCCTCCCCAGTGTGTCCTGGTCAGGGAGATGCTAGGCTGTGGTTCCCAGTCAACCCCCGCATGTCTCCTGGGGATGGGAGGAGGGTTGCTGTGCTCCCCACAGCATCTCTTAGAGGTGAGGAAGCTGCCAGGCCACAGTTCACAGCCCCCCAGTTTGTCCTGGTGGTGGGGGGACTGCCAGGCCACAATTTGCAGCCCCCTAGCATGTCATTGGATGGGTGGGGGCCACCAGGCCATAGTATGCAGCTCTTCCCCCAGCATGTCCTGGGGGCAGGGTATGCAGACCACCCCCCCTCTCACATGTTCTGGGGAAGGGTTGAAGCTGGGACCAGGGCTGTGTGGTAGCTGCCCAGCTGCCCCTGGGGCAAGGCTGTGTGGCAGATGGCTCCCCCGTGTGCTGGACCCCAGGAGCAGCCACACTGTGGCCTGGCTCCAACTCTGGCATACAGGGCAGCAGCCTACCACGTGGCAACTGCCAGAGCCGGAAGCCGGACTGTGGTGCGGCTGCTCTGTGGGCCGGAGTGTACCTCACACCAAAGCCCAGCTTTAGCTCCAGCAGCTGCCCGCCATGCAGCCCGCCCCAGGAGCAGCCAGGCAGCCACCACACCGCCTTATCCCCCCACTCTCCCACCAAGCCCACCAGCAGTAGCAGCAGCAGCCACAGCTTAATTTCCACATGCATGGAAGATGAGTGCTGCCGCATGCAGAGGTGGGTGGGATTAGGCGCGCACTCTAGGGAACTCCCAGCGGCTCTCAAAAGAGCCATATTTGGTTCTCTCACAAGCCATATTTGGCTCACGAGCCATAGGTTGCTGACCCCTGCCCTACCCTCTGGAAGTATAGGGCTTTGCCTCCAATGGTGCTGCAGAGCCCATGTGCTGGGAGGAGTCTTTCCCCAATTCTCCCCCTCCAACTCTTCCTGGCCCTGGGTACTGAGAAGAGAGTTGGGACACTGGAGCCATGCATGCGCCAAGTCCAATGAGTCAAAAGTAGTGAGCCTACCTTGGCTGTCACCCTTCCCATCTCTACGCTCCCAGAAATTCCCAGTTCAGTGTCATCTGCTGCTATCGCAGCTGCTTCAGTGAGGCAGGGACCTGGCCATTTAGAATGTTCCTTTTATTTTGGCCGTCTGACAAAATATTCTTGAGGAAAAAAAGCAGAAGTAGTGACATAGTGATTGTTAATAGTTGATAAATCCACAAAACGTCAGTAGAATTTCATAGGACACAGAAAACCTTTCTGTTGAGAGTTTTCTGGCTGCCAAATTTCAAAGGGACAATGGAGGTGTTAGAGATTATTCAAAATGAAAGGCTCCAAGAAGCTTGTATAATGGGAAGTGTTAGGCACCCCAAATGTAGGTGTCAGTGCCAACTCTGTGATCATCCAGCATTTATTTTCTTTATTTTTGTAGCTGCACAGCTCTGGGAACTGCAGAAGGAGTCCCTGGGACTGATCGGTCAGATGCAGTTTGTGTGGAGCCTACCATGTCTGTACAACCACAAGATGGTATATTTCATCATATGTAATTATGCATCAGAAAGTATAGGGTAGGATTTTCAAAAGGACTCAGTGAGGCATAACTCTGTTCCCAATGAGGCTAGCTCTAATGGATGCAGTTAAGCTAATTCTGAGTCTTTTTGAAAATCCCCCTCAAAATATTTTGTTATTAAAGACTACTTTATGCTGTTTTGAACTGCAGCTCCTTGTGACAAACCCCAACTGTAGTCTATGTTCAGTACTGTATAAAGCTTTATACTTTTTATTGAAATTACATACCAGACGAGATTATTGTAATACCCATTAATTACCATCACAGTTGCAATTCTGACTCTTTTGCATTCCTCTCATTTTTAACTGTTAAAAGAAAAGCTACCAACTTTTGTCTGTGCAATGTTGATAGCAATAGACACAGCGTCAGTCAAAAGCAGCTCCTGATGTCTGATAATGAGGCCCATTGCCATTTTTATCTTTAATGTGGATGTGCTGTCCCAGAGAGACTATATGTTTCAGCATGAACTGAGCTGTCTTGATCTAAGTTGAAGGCTAAGTCTTGTATGCGAGGGCCTGTGTAGCTCATTGAGACTGCCTTCAGAGCCTTTTGAGGCAAATCAAACATAGCTCTTGGGCTCCTGGCAGTTTACTAATGAATCCTTCAATTGAGCAAAAATTGGTCATGCTTGTATTGGGCTGTCTTCAGAGTTTAAATCTGTAGTTCTTTTTAAGATGGTACTGTAAAGTAAAGCATTGGCTTGATCAGGCTCCTTGTCATGTAACATGATGTGGCATAAAGCTGGCAGAGTTATTTTAGAAATCCAAGTTTGAAAAGAAAAATCTTACTGCTTCCAAGCTAAGTCTAGACTGCAGGCTTCTTTCAGAAGAAGTTTTTTCCGAAGAGATGTTCCCAAAAAACTTCTTTCAAAAGAGAGCTCCACACAGCAAAAGCACATTGAAAAAGCAATCTGCTTTTTCGAAAGATAGCGTCCACATTGATTGGATGCTATCTGGAATTTAAGTTCTGATTACTATGGACGGAGTGGCCACTAGGGTACCTGTGCTTTTTTTCTGCAGGCCTCTTCTTTTAGGAAAAAAAAAAGCCCTCTTCCCCATCCCACACACCTTTTTCCAAAAGAGTTATTTCAGAAAAAGGCTTCTTCCTCATCAAAAGAGGTTTACCACGGTCGGAAAACCCCGTGTTCTTTCAACTTTCTGTCGAATGAACACAATTGCAGTGTGGACGTAAGAGTAGTTTTTCCAGAAAAACTCTGCAGTGTAGACATATATCCCAAGTAAGCCAGGGTTGTGTCATTGCAAAGTATAAGCTGCTCACTGATCTGACTTTTTTTTTATTCTACAGAAACAAACAAGATCTTGTATGTTCTGACTGTTCCAATCCTCTTTGTGACATTAACCAGCATTATCATCCTTATTGTATATTACAAAAACAAGGGGAAAAAACTGACAGGTACATTATGGCTAATGATTTTTAGGAATTCAACTTAATGTTGGCAGAGGTTTAAACTGTATGATTTGACTTGAGTGGAAATTATCACGTTAAAACACATGTGATGTTTGGAAAATGATATGCTCTACAGTTTATGTATTTTAGCTAGCACCAAATAGAACTTTCGATTCCTTTTCTGTTGGGGTGTGACTAGACTGGCAAGATTTTGCGCAAAAGTGGCTGCTTTGGCGCAAAAACTTGCCAGCTGTCTTCGCTGTCCTCTTGAATTCGCGCAAGAGCACTGACTTTGTAATGTACAAAATCAGTGCTTCTTGCGCAAATACTTTCACGCTCCTGCTCGGGAAAAAGCCCTCTTGCGCAAGTATTCTTTCACATGAGGGTCAGTGTAGACACGGAAGAATTGTTTTGCGCAAAAAAGCCCCAATGGCTAAAATGGCGATCGGGGCTTTCTTGCACAAAATCGCGTCTGGACTGGCCACGAATGCTTTTGTGCAAAAGCACTTTTTGCACAAAAGCATCCGTGCCAATCTAGACGCGCTTTTGCAGAAATACTTTTAACGGAAAAACTTTTCCGTTAAAAGTATTTCCGCAAAATCATGCCAGTCTAGACGCAGCCTAGGAGTATGTCTACATCTACATTATTTCGAAATGACTAGTGTTACTTTGAAATAACTTAGTCCGCATCTACACAGCAGGCAGTTATTTCAAAATAATGTCAAAATACTGTCAAACTGAAGGACTTTTTACTCCGACTCTTGTAACTCTCATTGTACGAGGAGTAAGGGAAGTCAGAGGAAGAGTGCTCTATTTCGAAATAAGTGCTGTGTATACCAGGGATGGGCAATAATTTTTGCCCGGAGGCCACTTCAAAAATTTTTGAAGAAGCCCCAGGCCACCCCGGAAGGGGCACGGCCTAAACAGGAAGGGGCGGGGCTATCCACCCCCAGACCATGATTGGTCTGGGGATGGGGGAGCCCCTTTGTCCCCCCTTTCCACTAGGCAACCATGCTCCCCCACCCCTAGGCCAATCAGGACCTGGGGGCAGGGGAGCGTGGAAGCCTCCTCTGCTCTACCCCCCACCCTGCGAGCAGTGCGTGATACTTCAAAGCACCACATGCTCCTGGCAGGGCAGGAGGAGCCCCCTGGCCGCCCCCCCCCCCCCCCCCCCCCGGCCCTAATTGGCTTGGGGGCGGGGGAGCAGCAGGGTCTCTGCAGGCCAGATCCACCCACTTGGCGGGCCGGATTCAGCCCATGGAGGCCCTTTTGCCCACCCCTGGTGTAGACACACCCAATTTCAAAATAAACTATTTTGAAGTAAGCTACTCAATTGATGTAGCTCAATTTGCCTCGCTTATTTTTAGTTAAGCCCTGCAGTGTATACCGTAGGGTATAAACTTTAGGCTTATCACTCTGGTGCCTTGTCAAACCAGCTTTTGTGCAGTAATTGGATTGTCAAAATCAGATGTCAAATATACATTCCAGTGGAGTTGTGTTTATGTTTGCAAGGCATGTATTGTGTGGCCTGCATGCTTGGCAGCTGTACTATATCCATCTGATACCAGATCGGGTCCCCAGGACTATTCTGTCCAGACTCCATGGAGGTTACCATATTGCAAAGCAAAACAATGTCTTCTGCACAATGTGACCTCACACATACTGTACATATGGGCTCACACTAAACAGAGGATGCCTTTTGAGACTGCCTTATTAAAATTGTCTCTGCATGCCTCTAGTACAGACACATATTTGAGAATGTGATCATGTTTATTGTTTGGACTAGGGTCAACATTTGATACAGTATTTCCATTATAGTAGAGAAATGTGATTTTCATCTATTATCAATGGCATTAAATATTCTGCACAAGGGGGAAATGCTTCAGCAATTGCTATATGGATGTTGATGCATCTGTAGAAACTCATTTTAACCTCTTAAGTATTAATAAATTGGGACAAACTGTTATTACTCCTTTTGCATTTACTTCCTCCTCCTAAAAATCTTTTTCTCAACTGTCCTTTTTCCCTTTCATTTCCTCAGTTCCATCTGCCTGGGTTTTTTCTGCCATTCTTCTCCTGCATAGTTTAAATACACTTTTAAATAGTGTTTTATAAGTTGGCTACTATTTCCACGCTGAATGCTTGTCTCCCTAAATCAGGAGACCTTTAGATGGGTTGGAGATAATGGTGACCCTCATTGCAAACCATTTTAGATTCAGTGCAGGTTACAGTGAAATCATATTAATCTGGATTTTCATCACTCTGCAGCCTCCAGTGGCTTTTTAGGCCCTTTAAGAGAGATTCCAGACTGACAGATGATACTACTTACATAGCACTCGTGTCTGGGCTCCGCAGAACTAGGAGGAGGCACTATCTACAGTGCAGTGGATAGATATGGGTACTTGGCATGAATGGAACAAATGAATAGCCAAGAGCAGGCAGCAGCTAAGAACTGGATATCTATTCTGCTTTTCTACAGACACACAGAAGCAGCATGATATTAAAAAGCACATAGGACCTAGCACTACAAAATCCCCATAAACTATAATTACTATAAAGTAGCAGTCACTGTTACATAGCATCACTGAGTTTAAACCTTTTCCTTCAGAGATGTTCTCATTTAGTTCCCAGTTAAGCATATCCTAATTAAGCAGGCCAGACTAAAACTGCCATCCCATGGTGGTTTCAGTGTTCGTGTGGGTTTTCCCCCCCTCTGGCCTCCTCATTGCTATTTGGGCATTCATGTGACACCTCTTGAAATAGATCAACCAATTGTATGGTTGTAACTGGGTCGATAAGAGGCCAGTCATAGCTTGTTGGCATGTGACCAGGAATAAAGCCCCATTTGATGTGGAACATAGTTTAACCACATTCTATTTTAGGAACTTATAGACATTTGTTCCATAAGGATGTATCCTATTCAAGTTATAATAAACCAGGCTAGACAGTCATTTGGCCTTTTGAACAAAGTAAATAAAAACAATCTTAGACCGTTAGGTTTCATTTAATATAGGTGATAATGAATAACTGTATATTATTTGATCTGTGATTGACTTAAGAAAGCCTGCTAAACACTATTGCTATTATTTTGTTTCCCTTACAGCAGATCTACAGCACTGGGCTAATGAAGTATGCGGCCAAATAAAAGGGACGAAGGTAAATGTCAATGTCTAAATTTTTCATTGTTATTATGCTTTACTGATTTTTTTTGCTGACCCTCATGGCAGCCTCAACACTTAGTACAGACAAATGAGTCCACAGATTTCTCCCCAGCTATTCACTAACTACTGTACCACCCAAAGACAGAGATCTGGTAGTTACAACAAAGGACAAAAAAGTGATGGTAGTCTGGCTTTAATTCCTGTAAGAGACAACGAGCCAAGTTTTTCTCTAAGTTACATGAATGTAACCTCTGTGGGTATGTCTACATTTGCACCCTCTTTTGAGAGAGGGATGCAAATGAAGACATTTGAAATTGCAAATGAAGCCGGGATTTAAATATCCCGTGCTTCATTTGCATATTCACATTACGGCGCTATTTCAAAATAACAGACGCTGTTAAGATGCGGCTATTTCGAGAGAAAACCCTTCTCGCAAAATAACTGGTAAACCTCATTTTATGAGGAATAAGGGTTATTTTGAGAGAAGGGTTTTCTCTCGAAATAACTGCGTCTTAACAGCATCTGTTATTTTGAAATAGCGCCGTAATGTGAATATGCAAATGAAGCACGGGATATTTAAATCCCGGCTTCATTTGCAATTTCGAACGTCTTCGTGTGCGTCCCTCTCTCGAAAGAGGGTGCAAGTGTAGACATACCCACATGTGAGAGTGACACTCAAGATAAACTAACAGCAGAATTAGGCCCAGTGACTCAGTGTGTGTCCTAGGGCATACTATTTGAATTTTTTCCCCGCCATTCTACATAGCTAAATGATAAAGACCTCTTTATCTACATAAGTACCTATTCCTTTCCGTTTCTGAACAAGGAATGATTTGCATTATACTCTTTTGTTTTTTCTGGCCCTTGTTTGTCTTTTCTAAGAAGTGCTCCGTTAATGATGTTAATTGTTCTAATGTGCTAGGGCTTTCTAATCATTAGGTAATCCCAGGAAAATTCCTGTAAATGCCATTTTTGCACTTACCATAGAAAGTAGCCAAATGAAAAAATGCAGAAAATTGGTGGGCAGGGTCATTGAACATATAAGGCCCGAGTCCATTCCATTCTCTCCAGCCTAAATCAGGAGTGACTCCGTTCATGTCAGAGGAATGGAAGGTGAGCAAACATGGTATAAGTGAGAGAAGAATCAGCTCTTCCTTTATAAAAATGGGGGAGAATATTTAAGGTCAAATCCTCTGCTGAGATAAATGGTCACTGCTACTTTGACTTCAGGGGAGTTTCACATAAAGACAAGTACTTGACCCTTAGAATTTAGAGGATTTCAAATCAAGGATAGGGTAGACCTGGGCATTAAACTTGAAAGAATAGTCCATTATTAAGAGGAAACCCTTTTGAGCCTTAAAGTGTAGCTTTGTTCTGAAAAGTGACTATAAAAATGGAATTCCATGCTCATTGTCTCAACAATTTTCAAGTCCAATGTGCTCATTTCACAATATTTTTCTAACTCTGTACCTAGCAAGCTCACCCAAAGTTCTGTAAGCTAATCTGGATTCTTCCTTCTTCATGCATCACCATCATTAATAAAGGTTTGGCCGTCAGTGCCACCTGTGCAAACCTGATTGCCTACAACGGCTTGCTGAGATGTAGCCAATTGGATCTTATAACAATGAGAGGAAAGAAAGAATAGAATCTAACTCACTTGCTTAGCTGTTTTGGCTCTGAGGCGCCAAAAGGGGCAATAACCAATTACAAATTTATTTTGTCTCCCATGGGAGCAGATTTGACTCTGAATACACCCAAGGAGCAGACCTATTCAGTGAAATCCTTGTCATATATCCAAATAGAATTTCATTTTACGGGTCAAAAAATGTAGGTGGTGCTGTTCTAAATAAGCAAATATATTGCAAGACTATTAAGTTCTCTAAATAGCATTTCTACTCTGCTAAAGAAAAATAATGTTCTGATTACCTGTTGATTAAACATTTTTTTCTTTTGGATTTCATTTAGGAATCTCCCAGAGATCCTGTCAATACAAACATGGTGAATGCTATGAGTCCTCAGCCTTCTGAAGGAATATATTTGCTAACCCTTGATGACTACGGTTTTTCTGAAGACATGGGTTGCCCAAATGGGCACACTCTCTATGGGAAAGGCAGCCCAGATACAGTCCACTATGAACTGAGAGAAAACATCCCAACATGGTCATCCTCAGACTCGGTTACTAAAGACAATTTCAAGCAGATTCCTATGGAAGATGAATATGTAGATAGAGCTCCCCATGCCCATGGTTTTTTACCATTATTGAGTCGGCCAGACAGTAAACCCATGACACCATTTTCAGAGCCACTGGAGGTAGGAGAGAATGACAGCTTAAGTCAGTGCTTCACAGGAACTGAAAGCATGGTGGATTTAGCTGGCTGCTATAGCTCTGATCTATCATATGGAGTGGACTGCAGCCATGCATCCTCAGACAAATACTTACAGAAATCTTGCCCTTGCACCTGTAGTCATATGAAGGATATGGAGAGAAAGGACACAGATCGCTTCCCTGTGAACCCAGAGTCAAAGAACAACTGTATGGGCTGTGGGGTTTCATCTAGGGAATTTCCTAAAAAGTGGAGTGAACCCATGGGTGCAGCAGTTGACTGTACCACAACCTCACTGGAAAATGGATTTTATCCACAATGTGCCTGTGGCTTGGACTTTCCCTCTGCAGGTCAGAGTACTTTAGCAAGTAATCCTGGCAATGAAGAAACTCCCTCTGAAGGTACTGACACAAAGTACCAGAACACAACCAGAAGCACCTCAGGGGCAAACTGTAGCACTTCAGACATCCCACAAGCATCGGGTAAGCAACTCCTTCTGCAGGCTCACTGTACATCTTTTCATATATCCTTCATACTTTCCCAGTATTATTTTACTTTGAATCACAGTGGAGGGTATGGTTTGGGGGAAGGAGCAATGAATAAAATGAAGCTTTTTTTTCCCCTTCATTTATTTGCCTTGCAGCTACTTTGAATGACCAGGATAAAAGAGCCAGTACATTTGTTTTCTGTTGGATTCTGGAAATGGTCTAGACCCAGTGAGGTTTCATGCTGGTGCCAGTGGTTATTCTCCACCCAGCAAAGAAACCTCCAGCATCTTGGCTCCCACTGCAGAGGCTAGACAGTTTATGCTGTCGTCTAAATATTTTGATGGTGGAACAAAGTGAATTCATTGCATTTTCATCTCCGATCATGAAGTTCTTAGTTAAACACCAATCAGAAGCATGAAGTTTGCAGTTAAACACCATTATGACTGACAAATAAAGAGAAGGCCATTTTTTGTTTCTATAACTTTTTGTTTTTATTATTTTTAACATATTAGAATTAGTTTTAAAATAATTTGGTAACACACTGTTGTTCTGCCCCAAAACTTCTATCTTCTTAATAATTCTGGAACAGAGTTATTTAGTATATTTTTAAATTTAAATGGGCTACCTTTTCCATAGAGAATGTGCCCTTTAAACTTCAAACTAAATTCCTGACAAACAGGAGAAAAGAAATAAAATAAAAGGAATAGAATGATATAGGGACTAATGTCTATCTCAGAGTAGTACCCCCTTTCTGAACTGATTACTTAAGAGCCACTACGCTCTCCTCCCTCAAATGTCTCTTCAATACCCTCAGCTAGGGTGACTAGATAGTAAGTAAGAAAAATTGGTGCTAGTGAGAGGGGGGAATAGGCACCTATATTAGACAAAAGGCCAAATATCAGGACTATCCTTAACAGGGCATCTGGTCACACTAACCATATCTTCTATGATGACTGTAAGAAATCATCTATTTTATGACGGTTGTAGAAACAGGTATATAGTTGGTCCACTTACAACTGTTGTAAAGGGGAAAATGTATACAGAAACAGCATATATATATTTGTGTGTGTGTTTTCCCACATTTCATGTACTTTTAGACTGCAATCTATTCAGGGCAGCAATCCTGCCTCTATACATGCTTTTAAGTCATCTAACAGAATGGGACCTTGAAACTGATTAAAGCCTCTGGGTACTATAGTTACACAAGTATTAATAATAGGCAATCATCCTGCTATAAATGCATATTATACTGTATCTTGGAGCAGTATGCTGGACGCTTTCATATCGACCTGCCAACGCCCAAATGTGGGATATAATGTGTCAGAGGCCACCGAAAATTGTTATCCACATGGTTGACTTAAGCTATTGCTGGATTCATTCCTTTGGTGTATATGATTCATTCTGTTATACATTATTTGTTTAGAACAGAGGTAACTTTGGGGCTAAAAGGAGGGACATTAAAGGTAGGTCTAGAGATCAGGTCCTGTTTGACACTGGCAGAATGTAACTCCTCTCTTACTCCGTCCTACAGTAGAATGGAGAGAGAGAGAGGCTACAGCTATACTGCGGCCTTCTTCCGCAAAAGCTTATGCAAATGAAGCACAGCGTAAAATATTGCCGTGCTTCATCCGCATAATTAATTAGCTGGCGTTTTTGCGCAAGAGGCTTTTGCGCAAAAAGGAGCTGTATAGATGGTACCTTTTTGCGCAAAACCCCCTTTTGTGCAAGAGCTGTTCTTCTTGAAAAAGTGAGGAAGAACGGCTCTTACGCAAGAGGGGGGTTTTATGCAAAAAGCCATCTACACAGCACCATTTTGCACAAAAGGCTCTTGTGCTAAAACGGCTGCTAATTAATTATGCAAATGAAGCATGGTGATATTCTGTTCCACGCTTCATTTGCATAAGCTTTTGTGCAGTATAGACATAGCCAGAGAGAGAGAGAGAGATTAGGGAGCAGAGGGGCACGGAAGATTAGTTATTGGGGAGTTTGGACGGATACATGGTTGGAAGTGTATCTCACGTGGTCTGCTGTATATTTCTCTCTGGGTAGTTTTAATTGCATAGGCACCACTGAGTGCCTTCACATACAATAGTGCCACCTGGTGAAACCTGAGTAGGCATACAGTGTTGTTTCCTTACCATAAACTACATATGACTGCTGTTTGGGCCTTTCACAGGGAGAGCCAATTCTAAAGTAATAATTTTAATTAATCAACAAACTTCGGAGGCATAGTTCATGTGTTATTTTTCTGCTTCTGGAATATCAGTGTTCTGAGGGGAATATCTGTGAGTGCATGTGCCCTGAAATAGGGCTTAGTAAATGGTTCCGTTCTGAGTCATGTTGTAGGACTATAAGGAGCATTAGTCCTCTGTGAATTGCTAGGACAGAAAAAGACACACAATACACATTTTTTAACTTGTTCTCAGTATGGACTGACATACTATTGGAACCATGTAGGTTAGTAAGCAGGAGAAGTGCCAGCATCTTCCTGGTAGGGAGGACTGAGGTGGAGTGAACCGAAAATTGTGGGGCTGCCCCATGCTACGTGTGGGCACACACATTTATGTTTTAACAAAACGTTCCTAAACGTGGGTTTTATCTATTCTCAAAAGGAGAATAAAAATATATACCAACCAGTGTGTTTCAAACCACATCTCTGGCAGCTCACAGGAAACCAATAGGGAAAAAAACTGAAGCTAATAAATAAATAGGCTAATAATAACAGTAAGAATGCATGCAAACTTCTGGAAAAAATTACTGGTTAAATAATATTAATAGCTAATTACTTTAAATTGGAGAATATATTATATTATATTTAGAAATTAGCCCGTTGCACATGCAAAGTAAACAAAACAACCATGCACACATCGGTATTAAAGCAAAATAAACAACAACCGATCAATATTAAGTACATCTTTTTTCCTTAGCCAATCAAGCCTGTATTTCCATTCCACCCAAATCACAACCCAATCTGTCCATTGCTGTTATTTGCAGCAATAGAATTGGTGGCATTGTCAGAGCTAGCTTTAGGGGTGGCCTAGGATGCGATATTGAGGGGGCATCTTGGTTGGGGGGGCTCCATCACCGATACCCCCACATATATACACAGTCGGTCCGAGGCCCCTTTTTCCACCAGGAGCTAGGAGGAACATGGCTGGGGGCTTTCCAGCTGGAGGGTCCTACCATGTGTTGAGCTTCAGATGCTAGTCCTAAATGGGCTGGGGTGGGACAAGGCTTCCTCTTTACCTGCAAGGCCCACTCCTGAGACTGGGTCAGACCCACTTCCATGAATCTCCCCTGGCTGCAGAAAGCTCCCCAGGTCCCCATTTACCGCAGCCATTGCTCCGCAGTCATGGGGGGAGGGGTCATTATATGGGGAGCTGCACTGCATTTTCCTCAGACTGCCTTTTTCCCTCAGGCCAAACTAGGACATCAGCAGCATTCAGAGCTGGGTCGTTGGTGAGCAGCAGCTGCTGGATGTGTGCCCAGCTCTCATGTGCCACCACCAGCAACAGCGCAGAACTGCAGAAGGAAGGGTGATTTGGCATGGCATTGCCATGCTTACATCTGCATGATTGCTGGCAGTAGTAGTGCCTTTAGAGCTGGGTGGTCAACCAACAGCCAGCGCTCTCTGGCTGCCCCTCTCTGAAGGCAGGGCTGCTACCAGCAGCAGCGAAGAAGTAAGAGTGCTAATGCCATACCTGACACCCTTACTTTTCATAACATTTTAACTTTGCGCTGGGAGAAGTAGTATGGGTAGCGGGCTAAGGCAAATTTTCAGGTGGATAGAGCCCCCAAAACACACCCTAGTGCTACTCCTGTTAGTGATTTTGTGACATGTCACCATTATAAACGAGAACTGGCTTGAAAAGGGAGTGGGGAACTGCCACACAAATTACACGGAAATATTTTTCTTTTTTACTCATCAATATTTAAAAATTAAACAAAAAATGGTGAAATGTCCAGTTATGAAAGACTTTTGGCAGGTAAACATAAATCTTCAAACAAAAGTGTTGAGTTATGTGGGTCTGAGCCTTCAGACGCCAATTCATATGGTTCCAAATTTTAGAGGAATTTAAAACTGTAGTACAATGGTTCCCAATCTTTTGTATAATGTGGACCAGCAAACCCATTCACAAACTTTTGGCAGACTGGTAGTATTTTATTTGCATATTCATTATGGTATTTAATTTTAAGAGGCGTCATGTTATTTTACATCACATCTGTATGCGCACAATACATGTCGTAATGGCAGATATCTACAATACTAAAAAAAATTCACCGAAAGAATTCCCCCCTGGGGTACCCTTTTTAGCAACTGAAATTTTGTCAGGGGCATAGTAGCTGGTGCCCACAAGTGGTGCTCTCCCCATCCTGCCCTGTGGGATGAGGGTGGTGTCATTGTATCTCCTCCAACTCCTTCTGTACAACCCTTGCCCTGTGTCTCTCTCTTCCCCAGCCTGGATGCTCTTGCTCCCACAGTCTCTCCACTGCCTCCCCTCCCCGCATTCCCCCTTTCCCTCCCTGTGACCCCCCTCAGAGTTTCCCTCCATTGCACCCGTGCTCCTATCTGCCCCATAAGTCTCCCCTGATCCCCACCAACAGCGCCTCCTGCCTCCTCCTCCTGTCCTGCCTCACATCCCTGTTCCCCCTCATCTCCCTTTACCATGTGAAACCTGGTTTGTGTAAACTGAGTTTGTGGCCACCTTCCAGTTCTCAGTAGGCAAATGTAAAAAGAAACAAAACCAATCCCTGTCATCCTGATTGGCAGCAACTGGAAGCCTCGGTAGAGACACCAAAGGATTGAATGCTGGTGGAAGCGATATATCTACTTATCCCTACGTAGTGTGCCTATAGGTCCAAGTTTTCTGTACATTCGGCAGAGCAAAGTGGAGAGCTTTCATTGCCACTCTCTTGAGAGAGAGGATTTTAGTATTAACCTCTTCTATCAAAGTGGCACATTTAACAAGCAGTTAAATGTCAATTACTCATTAACTGACTTGTGTATAACATTCATGTTGTTTTTCTAAAATTGCTGTTCTCCCAATAAACAGCAGTAATGTTCACGGTAAGGGTTATTACTCTGTCCACAAACCAGCATTTGTGACATCAGAATCATGTTGATGGCTGGGGATTGTGACAACTAGATTAAGACTTCCCCAAAGAAACAACCCAGGCAGGAAATAAGGTAGTGCATACAGGAGATACCTTTTAGTCACACATCGTGCTAATCAATGATAGTTAGAAAATACAGAAATAGTGTAGTGGGTTTTAGTTAAAGTAAATAATATTGCTAAAGTGAGCCTTTTGAAAAGACGTCCAAGTGCCACCAAACTGTTATAGATGTGCTCATGTATGGATTCAATGTAATTTATTGGAATACAGTCCTGGCATGCAAACATCACTGTTTATTGGGAGTACCAGATTGCTTTGGGCTGGGCCATGTTTCATAAAGAGTGATTGTTAATGGTTTTCTCTTTAACATTAACGAATAATTGCAGTGACAGGTGTTATAGCTGATTTTTAAAGTATGAAAGAGTCCAAAAAAACCCATGATGAATCTCTAGGCACTGTCCATAATAACTGAGGGTATGTCTACACTGCAGAGTTTTTCTGGAAAAACAGCCATTTTTCTGGAAAAATGACACTTATGTCCACACTGCAATTGCGTTCTTTCAACAGAAAGTCGAAAGAACGCAGGGGTTTTTCCAACAGCAGTAAAGAGCTCTTTCGGAAAAAGGCATGTGTGGACAGGGAAGAGGGATTTTTTTCAAAAGAAGAGGCCTCCAGGAAAAAGCACAGCTGCCCTGGTGGCCACTCCATCCACAGCAATCAGAACTTAAATGCAAGATAGCGTCCAATGAATGTGGACGCTATGTTTTGAAAAAGCACATTGCTTTTTCATTAAGCTTTTGCTGTGTATACACTATCTTTCAAAAAAAGTTTTTCTGGAAGATCTCTTCCGGAAAAGCTTCTTCCAAAAGAAGCTTGCGGTATAGACATAGCCTGATTTAAGTATTCTGTAGTAGGAAGAGTACATCCTAGGCTATGTCTAGACTGCAAGCCTCTTTCGAAAGAAAGCGTCTAGACTGCACGCGGAACTTTCGAAAGAGCAAGCCGCTTTTTCGAAAGAAAGCACCCAGTGAGTCTGGATGCTCTCTTTCGAAGAAGCCCTATTTACATTCAAGAACGCCTTCTTTCGAAAGAAGCACTTTCGAAAGAAGGCGTTCTTCCTCGTGAAATGAGGTTTACCGCCGTCGAAAGAAAAGCCGCGTTCTTTCGATTTAATTTCGAAAGAACGCGGCTGCAGTCTAGACGCAGGTGAAGTTTTTTCGGAAAAAGGCTACTTTTCCCGAAAAAACCCCTGAGTCTGGACACAGCCCTAGAGAGAGTGCATACTAATAATGCTCATCCAAAACTGTTTTTATTTTGGTATTTATTCGAGGTTGAGGAAAGTTAATTCTCCTCAGCATTTCTTAGAATTATTGTATGAATTTCAAAGTTCAAGGCTTTATCCTGCTCTTATAATGGCAAAATGCCCCATTCTCTTCGATGCCAGCAGGAAAGGGCTTTTATGACTGCCATGCATTTCTCATGACCAAACCTTTTAAAAGAGGCTTCTGTTAACATTGTAGTAGGATTCTGTGATTTAGCCTTGATCCCACAATGTGATCAACATGGATGGATCCCTGTTCCCATGCAAAGCCCCATTCAAATCACTGAGCACATCGCAGGATCTGGGTCATAGAGTATAATCTCATCTGCTCTTAGGATTGCCCCATCAGTACACTGTACATTATTGGATTCTAGCTGGTCTAATGTTATCCATGGCTGTATGGCTTAGCAATAACCTTTTAAATCTTTAAATTTTATTTATTTAAACTTACTGCATAATCTTACTGTATAATAAATTCAATCATTTGAAAAATCACTATGGTGACCAGTAAGCTATAAATATCTAACACAGGGATATATATTCAGACAGAGAGCATTTTAATCATAGATTATGTGTGTAGCATTTCCCAGCTTAATCTGAGTATGTGTATTCGAGAGCAAATTCAGGATCCTGATGGGTTTGCTGCAGCTAGCTGGAGGGGGAGTGTAGATATCTTTTTCCTCCAGGTGAGTTTTAAAGGAAGAAATGTTCCTATCATCTCAGCTAAATGGTCTTAGATGACAGGTTCAGTGTTGGGAGGGAAAATAATAGGAATCAGATTCACTCAGCTAAATATTCATCTCATTAGACAAAATTCTGACAGAAAATATTAATCACACACATATGCTTTTTCTCCCTCCCTTTCCCTAGGAAATGTGACTGGAAACAGTAACTCTACATTTATATCAAGTGGACAAGTAATGAATTTTAAGGGAGATATAATTGTTGTCTATGTCAGTCAAAACTCCCAAGAGGGGACAACAGTTACTGGAACAGCTGATGAGAATGTGGGGAGTCCAGTGCAAGAGATTAATCACACACATATGCTTTTTCTCCCTCCCTTTCCCTAGGAAATGTGACTGGAAACAGTAACTCTACATTTATATCAAGTGGACAAGTAATGAATTTTAAGGGAGATATAATTGTTGTCTATGTCAGTCAAAACTCCCAAGAGGGGACAACAGTTACTGGAACAGCTGATGAGAATGTGGGGAGTCCAGTGCAAGAGGAAAAAGCCCAACAATACAAAGAAAAATATGCTGATATGAATCCAGACTACTCTGCAGAAAACGAAGGACTAAATAGCACAGGGGAATATGAGAGACGGCCAGGGCCTGTGGTTCAAGAAGAGACCCAAGACGGTCAAGACAGGAAGTGCTGCCACAGTGGCTCCTTTCAACCTGTGCAAGAGGAGGGAAAACCGGGACAATTTTCAGAGAAAGCATTGCACTGATGGGAATCAACAGCTGTTGGCTCACTCTTAGTGCTTGCCTGAAACACCATGAATACTGAGGGACTGAAGACCAGGCAATGAGCGGCATCAATGGCTTGCACAGTTGTGTTAGCTGCTCAGAGGCCAGGTAGCCATGACTAGATCATTAGATCTGAGACTTTTATTATTCCTGGTGTCTCTTGGAGGACCTCATAAAATGGAACAGACAATTCCTCAGCAAATGCCTGGGATGCTGTCACGGTGGAAATTATTAGTGGAGACAGACGCAAGTGTAAAGCTGCCATCATTGCAGAAATATCTTTTCCCACAATCATATAAATTGTTCAAGACTTGCTGTTGATTGCCTTATCCTTGGGACATAAAGTGGAAGACTAATTAATTTAGATAGGTTATAAACGGTTTGGGTTTCTCTCTCTGTGTGTACACAACAGCTAGCATATTGTGAATGCTATTGGATTATGGATACTAATTATGATTAATAGTCATAAGGCAAGTCTTAAGTATTGATTAGAATTTTTCTCTGATGACATCCAGGCAAGAATTTGGGGAAGAATTAAGCCAAGCCCTTGTGCATGGTCTTTCTCTTCCCCATTCCCTTGCATGTGGCTGGGAAGGATGGCAACCTTTGCATTCACATTTAGTGCCACTGCTGGCATATGGCTCTTCAAAAGAGGCAGTCATGAACTCAGCCCTCTACCTTTCCCCAGGAAAACATACACCGCAGTCTTTTTAAGGTGGGACAAAGGTCCATGTAACTGATTGGCACCTTGGAGCTCTAGCACACATTGTATTATCTCTTAGGCTATGTCTAGACTGCAAGCCTCTTTTGAAAGAGAGCGTCTAGACTGCAAGCAGTACTTTCGAAAAAGCAAGCTGCTTTTTCGAAAAAAAGCAGCGAGTGAGTCTGGATGCTCTCTTTCTAAAAAGCCCTGTTGGCATTCAAGAACGCCTTTTTTTGAAAGAGCGCTTTCAAAAAAAGGCGTTCTTCCTCGTGAAATGAGGTTTACCGCCATCGAAAGAAAAGCTGCATTCTTTCGATTTAATTTCGAAAGAACGCGGCTGCAGTCTAGATGCAGGTGATGTTTTTTCGAAAAAAGGCTACTTTTTTCGAAAAAACCCCTGAGTCTGGACACAGCCTTAGGCATAATATTTCCTATTTCCTTAGGCAGAGCTCACACTGGGGCAATGCAACAGCTAAAATGCAGGGCTGCGCTTTTACAGCACATTAGATCTCTCTTCTACAAAGAAAACCAGATCCGGGTCCTGATTCACCACTGCATTATAGATGCATTTCCACTGAGGGACTCAGCCCCCTTATGTTTAAGACACAAAGTATGTGTTTGTCTGGTGTCTGGTTATATAGCAAATATGACAGAAATCCAAGGGGATGAATCTCCACTTGATAGGTTGAAATTTCCTGCAGATGCAAGTTGTGGGTATGAGCCAGATTTTCAGTTCTTTGAGGGCCAGGGATGAAGTTGCCATTTAATTCATATTGAGTGCACCCACCCTTTGAAACAGTGACTATTAAATAGTTCCTATCTGACAAAAGAGGGGTCAGGTCTGAATACAAATTCCTGTTTTTTCCCAGGCAACCTGCCATCCCCCTCTGCTATTTGTATTAATAAAAGGAAGACTGATTCGGCTGCACAGATTGGTATCCGTAGCTGATGCTGTTTGAGCTGATGTCAAAATTTAAACCTAGGACCTCTCATGCTAAATGAACGAACAGGTAGAACTAAAGACTAAAGGCCCTGACCCAAAGAGCATTAAAGTCAATGGAGAGTCTTCCCAATGAATTCAGTAGTCTTTGGATCAGGCTGCTAGTCATTCAGGGATGTGCACCTCTATATGAACCAGCCACTAGATGGCTACAGAGACTCATAGAGGATCTCCTAGCAGCAAAAGGGAACTTTCTTGAAAGTGGGTTATTTTCTGACAGGTTTTCAGCTATTAGTGTGTTAAACAGTAGGGCTATGTCTACACTCGCGGCTTCTTGCGCAAGTACGGCCATTCTTGCGCAAGAATCTGCAGAGCATCCACACTGCCCACCCGCTCTTGCGCAAAGAAATTTACAGTATGGCATGGTAAGAGAGGGTTCCTTGCGCAAGAGTTATGCTCTTTTTTATCAGGTGTAAGCCCTCTTGCGCAGGAGTTCTTGCACAAGAGGGCAGTGTGGACGCTCGGCAGGATTTCTTGCTCAAGAAAGCCCTATGGCTAAAATTGCCATCAGGGCTTTCTTGCACAACAGAGTGTCCACACTGCCATGGGAGCTCTTGCACAAAAGCACAGCTCGCACATGGCAGTGTGGACGTTTTCTTGCACAAGACTTCTTGCACAAGAACCCTTGCACAAGATGTTCTTGCATAAGAAACCGCCAGTATAGACATATCCTAGAAGGGACATTTATTCAAGGGCCAAAAAATTTGACATGAGATCCATGCATCTAGATTTAATTCTGTCTTATCTTGAATATCACTCTGCAATGATCCTATTGGCCTCGTGAGAAGGTAAACCCCCATGCACTTCCATGATCCATCTTAAAGGAAAGCAGTTTTGATTAGAGTGCAAGTATCACCCCTCCACCAAAAGGAGCTTCTTTTACTCAAAGATTTCTTGCTAGGAAGGATCTTTTGAAAAGCTCTAATGCAGCTAGCTGATCCAATTTGAAATATCATTTCTGTAGGTGAAGTCCACCTAAATCCTGTAAGCAGACAGTTTATTGAAGTCACATCATCATTAAATGCTCATTCATATATAAAAAGAAAGGCGGTAACCATCTTGCACAGTGTTTGCACATCATTTTAGTGCATTTCTGGGAGGCAAATTTCAGTGCACGATGGTGGAGACCACACATTTTTCAGCCTTCTTTAAAGAAAAAAAGAACACTTAAGTGGTATAATTCCAGGTTATAGATCTGGGCTGGTTGAATTCTGTATAGAAGGAGAATTTCTCCATTCAAATCATTGGTAAATAAGTTGCTTTGAGGTCTGGGGGGAATGGCTTAAAACACACAAACCAGTGTCTTTTCCTTTCTCTCTGTTGCTTCTTTTCATTGTTTGCATGAGCTGCAATGAAAGGGAGAGGGCTAGAAAAAGCAGGGTGAAATAATGGTTCTATTGATGGCAGTGGGGGTATGTCTACACTGCATTCCAAATGCAGTCTAGATGGGTTATTTTAAAAAAAAACCTTCTTTCGAAATAACCCTTAAACCTAATTTTTTAAGGAGTAAGGGTTATTTCGAAAGAAGGGTTTTTTAAAAAAATAACCCCATTTAGACTGAGTTTTTCTTTCTAAATAGGTGAAGCAAAATGCAGGACAATGTAGCACTTTAAAGACTAACAAGATGGTTTATTAGATGATGAGCGAAAGCTCATCATCTAATAAACCATCTTGTTAGTCTTTAAAGTGCTACATTGTCCTGCATTTTGCTTCAGCTACCCCAGACTAACACGGCTACATTTCTATCACTTTTCTAAATAGGGTATTTCAAAAAAGCACCCAGATGCCATTATGCAAATGAAGTGTGGGAAATTCAAAGCCGCGCTTCATTTGCAATTTCGCTCAGCTGCATTTGCATTCCTCTCTCGAAAGAGGAATGAAGTGTAGACATACCCTAGGAGATTTACCATTGACTTCAGTGGGACCATGATTTTACCAGAAGAATACAAAAATCATTTTGAATAAAATGTGAAAGAACTTCAAGGGTGTGTCAACCTTGGTGCTGTTATGAATCCATTATGGGAAATTTAGCTTACCAGAAGGTACAATGCTTTTCTCTGTTCCAGACTGAACCCAAAGTGAAGTATCCATTCCTTGATTATGGACACATCAGTGTGCTGTGTGACTCCCCTCCCCTGCCTTGCTGCTCAGGCATTGACCTTAAAGTAATTTCTGCATCTTTGTAATGTTGTTGGTAAGCACTCCAGGGCCAGCACTGTTGTTTGTACAATGGGGCCTACCACATTTATGATCCCAATGTTGATTGGTGCTCTGGCTGCTCTTGTAATACAAATAATTCATGAAAATAAATTCCTAAAGATCTTTTTTCAGCAACAGAAAGATGTACTTACATTAAATGGAAGAAATTAAATGACATCCTTGGAGCTTCCACCGTCATTTTTTTCCAGAAATTCAAATGTGAATATAAAAATCTTCCTACTAACATGCTAGACAGTATATGTCTTTTGATGTCTGGTTGTCACTTGGTCTCCTAGCAATTTTCACAGGGACAGAATTGGGTAAATTATGGAACTATATATAGACTCATAGAACACTAGAACTGGAAGGGACATCAAGAGGTCATCAAGTCCAGTCCAGTGCATTTTATATATATAATGGGCACAGTCACACCTTAAGGGTGTGTCTAGACTACAGGGTTTTGTCGACAAAAGTGGACTTTTGTCAACAAAACTATATCTGCGTCCACACTGCCTTTGAGTTATGTCGACATAACGTCAACAAAACTCAGCAGTTTTGTCGACATATGTAAACCTCATTCTACGAGGAATAACGCCTTTTATTGACAGATTCTGTCAATAGAAGGCATTATTGCATCTACACTGTCCTTTGCGTCCACACTGTTATGTTGACAAAGCGGCTTGCTTTGTCGACAGAACTGGATGTAGTCTAGACGCTTTTTGTTGACAGTATCTGTCGACAAAACTTCTGTCGACAAAACCCTGTAGTCTAGACATACCCTAAGAGAGGAAGTAAAGAAAATGAATCTTGTTTGTTTAGATTTTGGCTTATTAATGTACACACCTTTTTGTATAATAGGCTTTGTTTCAAAATAATATATGTATTTATCTGTAGTTCCAGGCAGTATGGGAGTAAACAATGGGTCTCAATTCTCAAAGTTAATAGTTTTATCTGTGTCTTAAAGAATCTATTGATGGTTTATGTCAGACAATTACCTCATATGAATTGAGTATGTATTATAAACGGAATGGAATGCTGAGTGACATCTCTAGCGGATTGGCTAAGATGCAGAGCATTAT